AAGGAGATTGCTTGTGAGACTTGCGGTTAGCCAGGGGGTGAGACCAAAGTCCTCCTAGTCTGGCTGGCTTGGTTTGCCTTAGAGGTGGAAGAAATCCCAGCCTTGGGCTGTAACTGCCCTGTTTGAGCAATTTGTCCTGAGTTGGCACTCTCAGTTGGGTTCCGCCAGATCCGCATTGTCACAGAGGGGAGGTGAAGGCAGCTGCTACCCAACCTCTCTCCACCCCTCCCCACCCCCAAACCAAAATGGAAAAATGAGAAGTTGGTAGCAATGAGTAGAAACTGGAAGTTAGGAAATGCAGACAGGTGTTGGGGACGTTAAAGGTATCAGCGAGGAATAGGGCCTGGAGGGGTAAGGACCGAGCAGGAATCCTTTCAATAGACGAGGAAAACAAGCCAAATCCTAGCAATGGGCCACGACCAGTATTAGAGCAGGATAGTAAAATTGTCACTCACAGAAGTACTTAAATATTTCTCTTCTGTATTTGGAAAGAGACGGGACAATACGTCCATATCGGAGTCTGATAATGAAACACTCTCTAGTCCCTCAAGAACCAGGGCGAATGCTAGACAGCAAGTATTAAAGTGAAACCTTTGGAACCTGCAGTCCTGGATAACTTGCACCCAAACATGTTAAAAGACTTGGCCAAGGAACTCTCTAAATCCCGTGTGTCATTTTGAACAGGCTCCACCGGAGGACTGAGGAAAAGCTAACATTGCACCATGACTGAAAGGCGGGAACGGGGTGACCCAGGAAGCTATAACCCAGTTAGCCTGATGTCAGTCCAAGACAAAGTTGGGGCAAGACTGGTAGTGGGATGGAACCAGACAAGAATTCAAGGCTGGGAGCATGATGGGTTTAATCTACGGCCAGGGAGCTCGAGGTTAGCTCTTAGAAACAAGCTGGCTAACTCCCAGGGGAGTTCCACTCTGGGACAGGCGTCCAAGGGCAGGTGCAGAAGCCCCATCACTGGAGGTGTTTAAGAACAGGTTGGATAAACCCCAGACAGGGCTGGTCTAGGTTTACTTGTGGCTGCCTATTTCAGGCTTATATTTCAAAACTTGTGCTTGGCTTCTGGGTGACACCCCAGACAAGTTGGTGTCTGCTCTGCCTAGCCTGCTTGATGGCCATTAAGGACCATCAGCTATACAACTGACCCACTGAGAAAAGGCAGATACACCTTATGACTCAGCAATGCATGCAGGGGCATGCCTACAGACAGGACTCTAAGCACCTGGCACTGGCCACTGTCGGCAGACAGGATTCTGGGCTAGATGGACCTTTGGTCTGACCCAGTGTGGCCGTTCTGATGACATTCCCTCCCCATGTCCACTGTGCCTCTCACTCCCAACCCTCAGCTCTCTGCCAGCCTGACCCCAGGGTCTCCCTCAGCTGCAGCAGTGATCTGAGGCAGGCCCCCCTTCCACTAACCCATTGGCACCCTGGGCACAGGTCCACGCCAGCTTAAGAATTTTCTTCTTGTGTCTCCCCCTGGCATTAGCAGAGGGCAGCACCATGACTGGCAGCTGCCTGCAAGAGCCAGCTCACAGCAACATCCAGCCAGTTCTGAGCTAGATCTGGGCTAGCCCGGCCACTGCTGGAAGAGAGCACTGGGAACACCAGTGCCATGCTCAAGACCCTGTCCCCTTGGCAACGCAGTGCTCAAAGTGCCCCAGCATGCCCTGAGCTCAGTATGA